TAATGATACATGGAGATACCTTGTGATATATGCGCACGCATGTCGATCGTAAATCTGCTTTATCTTATTAATTGTAGAGGAAAGAGATAGTTGTGACGATTTCTTTTGCTTCCCAATTTACGACGAGGAAAACAAGTGTAAATAAGTGTCATTGCAATTTCTTTTTGAAACTGTACTTTGTACTGTAGAATTATTTCTGCTATCTCAAAGTTTTTCAATAGATTTTCTTTGTTTTATAATATTTCGTTCTACTGAAGTATATATATGTATTAATTTACATTTTTTTAAAAGTAGTTTTTAATATTTTAACAAATCCCGATATCGCGATTTGTCAGTTTTTATTTGATAACCACTGTTTGATTCTTTGCAGTGACGCGCTCGTCGCGCCGGCGCCCGCGCACCTCATACAATATTAATGATCGACTGACGCCGATTAGCGAACGACCAATTAAACACGAATCGCACAAAAAGACAGTATTAGACAAACTGCATTGATTGATCTTAATCGTTTCGCTGAAATCATTGGCCATGCGCGCATGTTGCTTGCATAGAAATGAATCACACGTACCTACAAAAACTTACAATGTTTATTCGAAATTAGTCCAATAAATCTCATATGTTTTTTTTTTCTCTGATAGCTTATGAAGTTGTATTACGAGACACCTAAATTTATTATCAATGGTGGCTTAGAAAAATAAACAATAATCTTATTTTTTTTTTCTAATAGGTATATGTACAGAATTGACTAAATTGAGGATCTAACAGTTTTCCGTCGACCAATCGTTGTATGGTAGAATTTTCAAGAATTCATTTACTATACAAAACCAGTACAATGAGAACACATTAATAAACAAGGGGCTCATCGCATTGAAACGATCACTTCCAAGCAAATAATTTATCCAATTTTTGTTTAGAATAATTTCTCAATTATGTTAGGGATACGAGTACAGACTAGGCTATTACTACTAACTGTCAAATAATTATTATTAATAACTGGCTACCCCGCAAGATTTTTTACTTAGTCTTTTTTTCAACTTAACTTTCTCTTCATAAAAACCATCCTCAGTGTTCGAGGAATCAATAAAAAAAACTCGAATTGGTCACGCCGAGTTTTGAGCCACAATTTTGCGAGTCATTTATAGCTACTCCTTCATCATTCACGAGAACAAATGATAGTTAAAAATAATTAACAAAACCTTTCCCATAAATAGACTTATAATAACGAAAATAAAACATTGTTGCGAGAATTTTGCAAAGCACTTTGCAATTGCTTTTAATCAGATACCCTTTCAACAAAACTTTTCCTACATCAAATAACAGGTTACTAATACCCAAGTCATGCCCATAGCAAACTTTTCACAATCTAAACAATAAAATAAATAAATCAGTGGTGCTACAACCTTTTTAGGTCTGTTTCATGATCATTTGTCAATTTAATGGGCAAGTAGCTGATCAGCCTGTTCCTTACACACGCTGTTTTTGGGTCTAAGGCAAGCCGGTTTCCTCACGATGTTTTCCTTCACCTTCGAGTGAATGATAAATGCGCACATAGAAAGAAAGTCCATTGGTGCACTGCCGGGGAACGTACCTACGAGCTCAGGGATGAAAGTCGCACCCTGAAGCGACAAGGCCAACGCTCCTCTGTTACAAACTAAACACCAACCCACAAACCCAGCGTTAGTACCTACTTACTGGGAAACAATTATGACCCTAGCATCTCTACACTTAATTACCGTTAAGTGACGATTTGTTTGTGACGGGAACAAAAAGTTGTCTATGTCTAGTAGGGCAGGAGCTAATGCTTGTCTAATGAGAACATATGAAGGAGCATTGCACGAATATCATAACTAAGATGGCTTGGTGACCTGACGGGGCTCCGTGTTGGTATTTTAATATCTGTGTATCTAGGTGTGGGATGCTCATGTTTTTATGGGACTATCTGCCTTAAATTTCAGTATCTGTTTCATGATCATTTGTCAATCTAGTAGGCAAGAAGTTGAGCTTCTTGTGCCTGACAGACGCAGACTTTTTATTTAGGTATTACAGAAATACATACGTTATCCTATCCATTTTGGGTCTAAGGCAAGGCAGTTTCCTCACGATGTTTAACTTCGCCGTTCGAGGGAATATGAAATGCGTACATAGAAAGAAAGTCCATTGGTGCACGCCGGGGATCGAACCAACGACCCCAGGAAAGAGAGTCGCACGCTGAAGCCACTAGGCGAACACAGCTCAGACATGTAAAATATTTGCACGTGAGAAAACGACATCAGACCATGCTTCCTCGTAACATTGACGTAAATCTCATATCCTCATAGCATATCCATCAAGAGTTATTCTCCAACGCTTAAAATTATGACCTAAAAACCAACATTGTTGGGAAACGTCTAAATAACTCTTCGTAGAAGCAACAGGAAACAAATAAGTATTCGTGCGAACAAACCGATCAAAACCGCTACGCTCTTGCATTTCAATAATATTTCCGATCAATTTATGGCAACAATCGATTCGTATCGCGTTATCGAATAAGGGCGGCGAGTGAAATCGAGCCACTATTTCTATGGACGTCAAAACACCGTGTAAATTGTTTTAATCGAATATAAACGTCAGCCTGTATCGATTCCGGCGTATTTAACTCTTTTATCTACTTTACTGTTTCGATTTTATAGGCGACAAGCGATATTGACTTTATGCCCTTGATTGAATACACAATTTTAAGCTTGCTTAGTAACAGACTTCGAAATTCTAGTTATAACTGCTTCTTTATGTGAAAAAATACAAGTATTTTTGATAAAGAATTTAAATGTTGTGTACATTACACATGCGTAGTGTCGTAGCAATAGCGGCGTTATAATTAAATAGGTTTAGGGTTTAAAAAGTTTTTCTCAAAAAAGACAAAAAATTTCACTTACATGAGAATAATACTTTAGATTAACAAAACATTGTAGTCGTTCTTAAAATAATCACAATAAAAAGAAAGCCGTACATGCAATAACCCTAAAAGTAACCAAAGAAATATGAATTAAAAGTAATTATAAGAAATGAATTTGTCTAACATATTCACTTAGCAACGATTTGAATGAATTGAAAGAAGTAATATTTTTTCTTATTTGTGGGTAGTTTATTATACATTAATTATTAATTATATACAGATACAAGGACTTAACAAACTGTGCCCATAGCAGACTTCAATAAATGATGTAGTAATTTTGATAGCTCGAAGACGTCATTCATATATTTATCATTTATATACATATATCGTATAGTTTACTACACGATATTTTTCAGAACTATATATAATTGATTTCATAATATTTCGGATCAAAACTCATAAATTTTATAAACTTTTTTTTTTTCAGGTTAAATATCCCGTAGTCCAATGTTCAGATCAAACAGATTTTTCAGTGTACTTCAATCCTAACGGAACACCATCGTTGAAACTCATCAAAAGCGCCGCTTTGCATCTGGCGGTTTTTTGCGTGAAATTATCCGGAACGGTCACGAACCCGCGACTAGGGGGTCAATGCACCCGCGAAAGAAATATCAACTTCATAGTATCGCATCGGCCCGTGAAATGATACAGAGCGTGATACAATCATCACAGCCACAGAATACAACGCAGCGTAACGTAGCAAAATCTTAAGAGTAGTAAGCTGAACCAACTACAGCATATCCTTAGATAATTATGTAAGGGCATTAATTTTTTTTCATAGAACGGGGCAAACGGGTTCACTTAACTTTCATGGACACTGTGCTAGAACAATGGTACGCTCTTTTCTTGGTTCGGATATCTCGATGATTAGCTGGTTTCACATAGAGGTGATGAAACAACATTAACAAACGCTCATTTGAGCAACGACTGACATCTACGTGATAGGGTTAGAATGTTCTGTTCTGCCTCGACATCCGATGAAAACATTTTCTTATGACAGCTCTGTTTGTCATGTAACCCATTTTTAAGAAGAACCCAAAATGTGACTCCACACTAAGACAAATTATATTTTCACTAAGTATAAAGTAATTTCTTCTATTTTGTATGTAATTACATACAATATTTCTCAATTTAAATTTTTATAGTAATGCTTTGTAATGTAAATTTGGTATTGGACATTTCTGGGAAGTTTAAAAAGTGCATGCATCGTGTGTGTTTCGCGGATCTCATCAAAGTCAGACCGACAGACTCCACGCGTTTGGAGTTCGCGTGAGTGCGTGCGAGATTGCAAGATATGCCGAAATTGGGTGGCCGATTGTTAGGGATGTGGTACACATTTCGAAAATCCAACAAACAATTAAACTTTCTAAACATTTCTCACAAAATACATCATCCCTGAAAAGAAAAAATACACTTGACGTTTAAAATGTCTTTTGAGGTATATCTTAAACTGGTTTACTGGCTTTGTACGCCTTAATATATTTATATTATTTTTATAAAACATTAGTAAGAGAATTAAATATAAAACAATAATCTATAAAATAACTATGCCATACAACTCCAGACGCACCGCTAAATCCCAATTCTGAATTCTACGTTCTTAATAACAATACTAGTTAGAATGAATTACTTAAGTATATCCTTTCCTTAATAAAATTAAACAACAATAACCAAAGGTAACATAATCCGTGTGAGAGCCTTTGTAATACCAACGCGGCGGTCTCTTTGATCTTTCGCCGAAAAACTATGTTACATTATGTACACGTTTGAAACTCATTATATAGATTCTTACGCTGGTTTTAAAAAGATAAAAATTAAATCGATGAAATATATCATTTTTAAATTATTTCATTATAAAAAAAATAATACCAGTTTTTCATATGTTGTATTGATATTCACACGTTAGTCTTGAACTTGGCAGTTAGTCACATTTGACTATCACAACAGGTGTAAAAAATTGGTCAAAGACCAAACCACCAATTAAATCTTCATTTCATTAAAACAATAAACAACCTCTAACAATCATCAGCATCATCCAGTGGCGCTAACTCAATCCTTTTTGATGCATTCATTCCATCTCTTCCTGGGCCTGTCTCTTGGCGTTTTCTACTGAGGCGACGTCCACTGAGTCATGGTCTTTGGTACCCTTGTCTCCGGCGTTGACATCCAAGTGGCCTGCCCATCTCAGTCTCTGGAGTTTGCAGAATCTGAATTCATGGTTTACACGTTCAGATGAACTGAAATTTCATGGTTCATGAAATGTCGATATTTCCCATCAATTTACCTTCTTACTCCTGATAACTATTCGGGTCAATCAGATGATGTACTTAGACGCAGAAGTATGTCCCCCCATACGATAACACTTTACGCCTACGAACTAATAAAATACAAGACAGATAAAACCCATTCAAGACAGGCGACCGCCCGCGGTTCTTGATAATTTTATAGAAAATTTCTTTTCATAACAAATAGGTGCCTTGATGTGGGTTGGACACGGAATCGTTTGTGTGGGTCTATTTCCTGTTAAATTGCTATAATAAATTATTGAAATTAAAGTTAATTTTGAGTTATTATGATACCGTTGTAAATGAAATTGGACCAAAAGGACGGCTAGCAATTTAATCTCTATTTCATAATAAACATGCACACATGCAACATATCTTTATCATTTTGATAATATTACTGATTTAAGTGTTATTTCAACAAAATATGTTTATATTTATCTTCTACTTTACTACTTTCAATTCAATTAAATCGTTGTATTTTTTTTAAACATGTGTCTTTACTAAGACATCATGGAAAATTACGATCTAGCTCTAAAATTATTAAGTCATTTAAGTCTAAACTAATTTATTAATAAGAATATTTAACATAAGTATCGAATAACACTACTTATAGTCTCTAATAAATGGAAAACACCCTATGCTTGTTTTATTTATATTTAAAAAAAACTTGAAATATGACAGAATGAATAAAAATGGGTTTATAATAACTAAAATTACTTGCCAGTTTCTATAGAAATAATATAATAATACAGAGTAGTCATATATGACTACTCTGTATTATTCACTTCAAAATATTCATTTGAGTGCATAGAAACACCTCCAGAGCTTCAATAGGGCAAGGATAAATCAATCTAGAAAGCGGTAACATGATCCTCCGCGTAGGTTTAACTTGACATGGATACGGGATATAAGCTTTAAAAATCTAAGACATTTATATTTTCATAAACTCCACAACAATTTACATTCGACATATAACAATATTTTACGGTAAATATAAATACTTTACTTATCTATTAAAAATTGTGACAGGATTCTTTTTTTTATGGGACAGAAGGCAAAAGAGCAGGCGAGTCACTATGAATAAAGTGATAACCGCCGCCCACGGTCACCTGCAACGCCAGGGTCTAGCGGGTGTGTTGCCAGCCTTTCAGGGAATATTGCGCTCTTTTCTTGAAGGTCCCTAATTCGTATCGGTTTGGAAATACCTCTGGCAGCTACTACAGATTACACAAAGAGGTGGTTCGAGACATGTGCCTTGAAAAGAGCTGTGTTGTGGAACGCTAGGCGTCGAGACGGAGAGGATTTAATTTTGCATTCTGACGTTTGATGATGGAATTCGCTTAATGACCGAAATGGATGGGCCTATATTCTTATTTCAATATCGTTTTTATTTAATTAGCCGATTCGATGTATTTGGATGTTTGGCTTATGGATTTTTTAAGGAAACGTATGAAGCCAACAAACTGCAAAGGTATCAAACATTAACAAATACATCAAAATCTAAGGTTTCATAAACTTAAAATCAAATAAGTTCACCTACCTCTATTTTTATGGTTTCTGAAAATTAATTAAGGATTAAAGATTTTGTTACTGTTTTGAAAAGTGACATGTAAGCCTAATACTTCTAAAATTGTCTTTGTTTTATACATATAAAACACATTTAATGAAGATCTATTATATCGTAGTCTTTTGACGATTAGCATTAATAGTCCGAAAATAGTATTAAATTCGCGTTTATTATCTGTACCTATTTTGTTGTAAAATATAAATTGCTTACATATATATTACCTTATTGCCTTTATAACAGCTGCTAAACCACAATATCTGTTCTCATATATCATGAGTTCAGGTAGCCGTGTCTTCACTGACGTTACACAAACTGCAGCAACTGGCTAGCCTTTAAGGCCTTCTATACTCTATGTCAAAAATATCTAAGTTTGCACCCATTTTATTTCTTTATACAAAAGGAGGCAAATGACACCCATTTTAGTATGTTGCCGGCTCTTAAGGGAGGAATTCGCTCTTTTTTGAAATACCTGGCGGTCGTATTTATTCTTCAATATTAATAATCTCATGTTAGCATGTATTCTGTTAAATGAAAATTCATAATTTCTGTTTACTTTAAACAAAAATATCGGTGAACGTTGAAAGGACTCATAAAGCTGGTTTAGATTTAACCTTCAAGTTTAAGTAATAAGTAGAGCAATTTATACAATTACACCTTTACCATATAACGCGTTTAATTATCACAATTTTACCGTTACAAGACCGTTTATACAGACAATTTTTAAACAATTGAATTGTAATGAATAAAACGCTTTTCCAAAAGTAAACAAAAGACAAACAAAACAAACTGAATCATACAAAAATCCACTGTATGAACGCCTAAATATAAATTAATGACTCGAATAGCTGTTTACTAGAAATTCGCAAACTTACACACAATCTCACTTACCGCGCAAGGCTACTTGTTACCGTATTTCTGTGTAACTTCCGACGCGGAAATGTATATTATTGAATTTAAATTACGATTTGCTGTATACAATGTTTAATGTCAAAGCTTAATGCACTAGGCTCGTTAGACAGCCTTTTAAAACAAAAAGACATTTTGACTAAGAAATATATAATTTATAATCTGCTTTCTTCAGGGAGAAAGATTCTCGTATCGGAGAAGAAAAATATACACAAACTTTGTAAAGGTTCTTTCACTGTAAATCTAGGTTTATATTTTCTTGACTCTGGTTTATAATTCGCGCTCATTTTCATTTATGTTTTACGTCATTGAAATAACCTGAGATAAACACGTAGTACATAATTAAATGAGCATTACCGACTATTGTCCCTAATACACCGAATACCACAAGTGAAACTTCACAGGTCAATTATCGCCTTTACAACTCACTAAATAATGTACAAAATTGCATCAATAAATACCGTTGCTTAACTTGAAATATTCGTAACGTTATTTAAATATAAAATCTATGTTAACGGAAAAAGGTTGATACTTGAGTGGCAGGTTTTGCTGAAACCACCGTTCAAACGATGGAGGCTCTTTGGCACCTCATAAGAATTAATGTTTATTGTATCGGAAGGGATTAAACGGTTCGAAAGTGGTTTTGACACGATAAATGCATTAAGAACACAATAGAATACTACAACGCACAGTTATGGTGACAAAATATTTTATTGAAATTATGTTTTGTCAAAGGAGTGACCATTTCCTTTCGCTTTTCACTTTGATAATGCATAAGGCGATGTGGATGACTAACGATCACTATTACGCCCGTAACATTAAATCACTAGTCAAATCTCTAGTTATTTCTAATCTCTGTGTTACGAATAAGAAATTTAAAACATCAAAGTATTTCTTTGTGGGTAAGTGAAAATGTTCAGAATGCGTTTCGATAACTAAGCGTATGTTAATTTTTTTAAATTTGAGTTTGATAAAGAATATTTAATTCAAATAAAAATAATCTTAATTACGGAATTAAGATACAATTTTTTTTACTACTATTTATAAAAAGATGTACTTGCGTACTTTAAAAATTGAATTATGACAGTACGCAAGCTCTAAAGTTGCCAACAATAAAATCGGACAGATCAGTTTCTAGTTGATAGTTTGATAACAGACTATAAAATTTGTGTTGGATTCGTAGTGGTGATACCAAATTGTTGGACAAAGTAATATGTACCTTATTTATAGCAAAGGGACTAGGTCGTATTATCTTATATAGTGATTTTTATCTCTTCCTCATAAAAACTTAAAATTATTAAGGAATGGAAAACATATGATCTGAGCTTAGTTTTTTTACAAGAACATAACATTTATAGATGTAACAATGAATAATTAAGGAATTCATAATGTGTGTCTTTCTAATAAATACGTTTATACTTTTTATTCCAGCAACACAGCCTTCGTTGAATTAACTTAAAACGGCGATCACGCAACATCTGAATAAATGTCTCGTTATATATAACTTATACTGTTAAGACCGTACTACAAATTAGTTATTTATTTAAATTAACATTTTCTTATTAAAACATTAAATATCCGAACGATGTTCTTTGTACTTCAATTTCCCCACTATTTGCTGTTAAATAATCTCTCAAAGTACAAACTGTATTTCAGACACAAATTAACCTACGAATTTCGTGTTTATTCTAAAGAAAAACATACATAAGTATAGATTACCGAACGCCAATCATATTTGAATACACAAGTACACACAACAGGCATGGAAAATTTTGTCAAAGTTTTCCCAGCTACCTCCGCCAGGACTCAGGCGGTTTTATAAAAGGCAGTGTTAAGCTGCATAATGCTTAACAGTAAAAATGCCTTCTTAACGCATCATCGCATGACAAACAGAACTCCGTTACTTGTTTGTCAATGGATTCCATAGCACTGAGCCATGCTGGCGACCAAACAAACCGATACAGAAGCCATTCTCGTCTTTATTACCAGGACGTACGGTCGAGTGTAAAAAGATAAGAATCTAGACAAACAGACGCTGAGCTTTTTCGATGCATCACATAAGCCAATTCTCCGTAATTATTACGCGGCTCGCATAAAATAGGTTGTAATTAATTTCGATGTATTGCAGGTGTAGATCAGTGTGCTGTTCAGTATTCTACATACATCTCTGACTGCATTTGAAAATTACGAATAATATTGGAAATTTATCTACGGTAGCAGTAAAGCTGAGCCCAAATGTCGCTATATTTGGACTGAGTAATTGATATACCTTATATGAACTGTTCCAGGAGGTTTTCTATTCTTACCTGTAATAGAAAAAAGCGTGTTAGAATAATCATCGCAGTTAAAATTAACAAAATAAATACAATACACCATACCATACGAACTGGCTTTATTATGGCAGACGCCAGAAATTTCATGATAAATGCTTGTCTGCAAAGTTGCCAGTATCATGAAATGTACCAAAGATGGTGAATGTTGCCAAATGTAAGCCGATAAGAGTTTAAGTACACTTTGGCAGTAAGCCAGAACAGGCGAATACCAAAATTTTTAAATGTCGTATGTTATGGCTTTAAAATGCTCAGCCAATATAGTTATCCATTTACTTAGGTTTGTATATGGTAAAAAAAGATGTTTTTTCATTAAACTTTACTTAGTAAACAAACATTTGCATAAAATTATGTAACCTGTCTTAATGCAATTAAATAAATATGAATTTGCATATTAGACATACATGGCATAACTCCATACAAACGATGGCTTCATGCAACATATTATTAAAATATTTAAATCATCTTGTAATGTCTTTATCCAGAGCTAGCGCTCCTTTTTTTAATTCATCCATATTTAACCTACAATTTATTCTGACATTAATTATCCTCATATAAACTTTTGAATTATATATAAATGCGTAGATATACGTAGATTCCTAGTACTCTGAAAATATATTTCAAGGATTCCGGGAAAGGTTTCGCAATCGACTGGGACACAACATTAACCGCAACAATAAAATTACCATACAAAAATTTATTTTATTCATAATAAGCGGAACCGAACTGACTGTCTCTGCTTAGTCAACTTGGCAACGTTATTGCATGTAACATTTATGTGGTGTAACTGCCAACTGGACTTTATAAAAAGACTACGTATATGCTTTGTTGTGGTTAAATATAATATTGTATACGAGTACCACACAAATAGAAGAAAATACAAATTAAATCGTGATTAGGGTAATAAGTGTGATGTCTTATCACTTAAGGTTTTTATTTGATTAATATTTGTATAATAAAATGTTATAGTTATATCTTCTATAATATATAGGAACTTTTTCGTAAATACTTGCTGCTACATCAAAATATCTTTCGTAAGCTCAAAATTAATTCACATTATAACTTCTACATTTGCAATAATTGGCGCACAGTAATAAAACCCAATCGGTGAAGCAATATACGATTTTTTATTATTCCCGAGATTTACAACGCATGCCAATCCAAGGATATTGGATTAATACGAATGTAAATTCAATTTATAGGTACACTCTTGAGTATAAAAGGAGCTAGGGATGGTAAAATGGCTAGTTAAACCGTAGACCAGTTTAAAGTACATGATCGAAATACACATAAAATATAGTAATATTTATTTCCAACTCACAAATATACAGTATTTACAATATTCTTAACCTTAAACTACCTATTCAAACTTTGACTTTGTTACTTTTGGAGACTTCTAGGCCGTGGGGTTCAACTGCACAAGCGCTAATTAAAGAATTAAGTGGGCGCCTAGTAGTTAGGACCGATGACCCCAGAGCTGGTGCTTTCTTAGCTGAACGACTAAGTATCGCAATACATCGAGGAAATGCTGCCAGCATTAAATATACATTGCCACAGGGGCAAAACATTATAATTTTTTTATTATTTTCTATTCATTAATTTTTAAATATAATTCTATGTTGGTTAAGAATATTGTACAAACAAAATAAAAATAAAGACAATTTAAACATTGCCAATATCTGACATGCACATTTGCATAGCTTCCATAATCACAGTTATGGGGTAGCAGTGATGAGTCATATTCGATCTACTTCTGAAAAGATCCTGGTGAGATAAAAATCTGGCATTTTACCAATACGCAAAGTAGAAGACTGGCCATCGCTTTTGGTTCTTATGTAATCAAAATCAACCTGGGAGGTGCTATATTGATCATTATCCGAGGATTAAAATATGCCTACTGAGAATAACATAACACCACCGTTTGGCCTATAAATGACCGTATATTGTAGTTTTACGGAAAATCCAATCGAAACTATTCCGTTAAGGTAATTCCACAGTTGACACAATTTATCGAAAATAAATTTGCATTATCTATATA